AGTTCCTCATCAGCCTGGCAAGGCGGAGGGTGCCCAGGATCACAGGACATTGGAAAGGCCACGCCTACCATCTGTGGGTTCTTTAGCTGGAAAAATGCAGAACCGTAATCTGCTTACTTAGACTGAGATGTCCCAGTGCCTTGGTGAGTTGGAAAATAACAAATAAAATGAGATAGTTGACATAAAGTCCTCACTGGACATTCTGTTAGAATCAAGACCACCACCTCACTCTTCTTTGACTCAGGGCATGAGTCCCCAGCCAATCTCTAGGGACCCCTGACAAAACACCACCTTTTCACCAACCTTACTCTCTGGAAACCTTAGTAAAAGGAAGCTAAGCGACAATCCCCCGCCCCAACAAAACTCAAACCTAAACTTACCCAGTTACCAAATGGTATTTTGCCAAAAGGCTTACTAAGTCCTGGCTATAGTAGCAGTGTGTGATGTGGAATCACCACAGCTTGAAAAACAAGTGGACAGCCCTCCCGGTGCCGTGGGGCTGCATTCCAAGGGAGTGTTCCGATACAGCTTTCATCACGCCACATGCTATGCTTGCTTGTTACAGGATTCTTGCACTTTTTGAAAAATGCTTATATATGTTTGCATGCTTATCAGATGCCCAAAATGCATTCTTCATGGATTTTCCTATCACTGTTTGGGTAGCATAGAGAGTTATATGGCTGAGAAGCATGGAATCGATGGAGATAATAATCAAAAAAGGAATGCTCTGTTTTCACCATCCCTATAAATCTGACCCGTAAATGCAAAGAATGTGTGGAATGAACACGAGCGATTCAATAATTTTATTGAAAACTTAAAAAGGAGGGAAATGGCAACTAACTCATAGGATAAAAGTTTTACCAACCTGTGCTCCAGAAGGAAAATGTTTTAAGTAAGATATTTCTGCACCCACATCTGAAATAGATATCTCTAGGGCAGGCATCATCAGAAACATAACAGAGTAGTGTGGGACTTGGTTTTATTGTCTTGAATCAGTGAACATTCCTCAAAAGCAGAAAGCGTCACTAATGGAATTATATGTTTTCATGCTGGAATTACATTTGATTTTTCCTGATATTTGTGTGGATGTTTTTGTTCCGGAGTTCATGACTAGGTGGAATATTTACAAGTTTTCTATGTTCTCTGCAGATCCAGTGTCCAACTCCCCTAAAAAAAAAAAAAAAGAAGATAGAAACTAGCAATAAGAATTTTTTTCTTTTTGGAGACAGCGTCTCGCTGTGTCGTTCAGGCTGGCTTTGAACTCACTAGGTAGCCCAGGCTGGCCTCAAACTCACTGTAATCCTCCCGTCTCAGTCTCCCAGGGATTACTGGTCTGTGCCACTACACTTGGCAAGAATTTGTAACACAAAATCAATGTATATTTATTAAAATTTGTATGCAAATTTCTGAGCTTCTTTTAATAACAAAGGAAAGAAAGAATTGCACACTTGAAGACTATGGGTGTAATTCAGGGGTAGAACACTTGCTTAAAGTGTATAAGGCCCTGAATTCAATCCCTACTACTGAAGAAAAAAAACAAAACTAAACTAAACTAAAGTAGAACAGGGGATCCTGAGTTCTGAAATTCTTTGAGTCAAAACAGAAGCACTTCATGTTTCTCCCTCTGTGTTTGAATGCACATTTCTTGGATAAAAGTTTCTTCGGTCTGTGGTCCCGTTGCTGAAGACAAGACAAAAGAATCTGGCTGTAGAATCGAGCTGAATTGAGAACCCAGTCCTGGCACACCACTGAGCGTGGGACCAGTCTACACCCATTTTTGATAAGTGAGCCGTATTAGCTATCAAACATTCCCCAAGGGCTGGGGATTTAGCTCAGCGGCAAAGCGCCTGCCTGGCAAGTGCAAGGTCGTGAGTTCGGTTCCCGGTACCGGAGAAAAACCAAAAAAAAAAAAAAAAAAAAAAAAATTCCCCAAAAATCACTGCTGAGGAGATGTGAACAATTAGGAAAGTGTGTTGATATTTCACATAGAATCACTGCCTTCTCCCCCACATCACGTCTTAGCTTTATCCTAAACGCCTCAACGTCCCACTAGCACCAAGTTTCTATTCTTTAGCATGCAGTTTCTGTTTTCTAGGTTTTAATGGATGTGGAGTAAGGGAATGACAGTTCAAATACATGCACACTCTACACCAGCAATGGCGACGCTTTTATAGACAAGTGCTCAAACTGTAACCCAAAACCCACTTACTGACTGCAACGTGCCAACACTGCAATTAAACCTGAATACTGAGGTCTTAGTTTAGAAAGAAACAATTCAGGCATTAGCGTCTTCTGTCTTAAAAGAAGAACAAATAACACATGTGCTATGCTTTTGCCACCACTGCTCTAGAGTTTCTCCCTCACATACAAGAATTAGGAAATACAAGAATAAAGTGTGTTGTTGCAGTGTGGATGTAGGACGGGGAGGGGCTTCTACTTGCAAATGGAATTAAGATGTAGGTAGAGATGGATGTCTCTTGGGCAGACAAAGGTTGCCTGTTCTTATCATAAAACTGAAATAAGTTAGCATTACCTTTCCCCGAGTTTAAATACATTTCTTAAAATGCCACTTGTTAGAATGCTGAAAACACAATTTCATTTCTCTCCTCTTAAATCCCTGCAGTCTGGCTCCTGGCCCAGCCACTCCACCCAAATCACCCTCTGATAGCTTTCAAAATAATTTCTCAGCCAAAACCAGTAGTGTCCTTCTAGACTTTTCAGCCTTATTCAAAACCATGTTCTTCCTGCTAACACCCCTCTGGTCTCAGAGTCAGGATTTGTCCTTTCCAGGTTTCCTGTGGCCCATGTCTTGAGTCACACTCCTTTAGTGATCACTCAACACAATTTGGGGCATAAATTACATCCCCATCCCTATCTTTAAACTCTCCTCACTTTTCAGAGCCTTATGTCTCCTCATGCAAGGCTTGTAGCTGTTGCTGGTCTTGGTAAAGTAAAAACTCAGGTCCTGATTCTCAACTCCTTGGTGCCAGATCAGATCTTGGTTTCTGAAAATGAAAGCTGAGTCATTTGGACTGTCCCCTAACCCTTTCTACTTTCTTTTTTTTTTTTTTTTTTTTTTTTGGTTTTTCTCCGGTACCGGGAACCGAACTCACGACCTTGCGCTTTCCAGGCAAGCGCTTTTGCCGCTGAGCTAAATCCCCAGCCCCCCTTTCTACTTTCTATCAGTATGTATTTTTGCATGCCTGATATGGAGTGGGTGAACTGTTCTTTAGTTATCCTTCATCTTTCACTGCTTGTCCCTAGAGAAATGCAGTTTAGACCAAACTGTAGACGTAGTAAGAGAGACATTTCTGTCAATTAAAATATGGTTCATAATTAGCGGTGGCTATACCTTCTTTTACAGTCCTTTTCATTCCACCTTAATGTAATATTCTCTTTTCAAATCTCACAAACATCTACTGACTTATTTTTCTGTATATTTATTTCTCATCACCATTTTGAAGGTGAATTTTTTCCTCTCTTTAACAAATTTGTCCCATTCTTTAGCATTTTACCAAATACCCTTCTCCAAAAGATTTTCCATGAAGTATATTTAAACTCTGTCATAGGAAACAGCTGATTTTCTTCTCCTTCTCAGGAATGTACAGCTTTATGTGAGCATGTATCCTGAGTTATCTCTACTTGTGTGCAAATTCCCATAAATTCACAGATGTATCTGCCTACGTCTCAGCCTTTCTTTCTCCTTGTCTCTTCTGTACTTCTAAGGCTTAGACTTGTTTTTTTTTTTTTATTGGAGCGCATTTTTAATTAGTACCTGGTTGCAGCACATAATGGTGATGTTTGTCATGGGGAGTTTGTACATGTACATTACACATCTTTATTCCTTTCTTCCCTTTCCCCTCCCATCCCTCCTTTTCTCCTCTAACTCTTGATGCCTTTCCATTTGAAAAAGCTTTATTTCCATTTGTCTTCAGTTCTTCTTTTAATCCTTTCCCCTTTCTTGTTCCCCTTTACCATTTGAAAACAACCTCTCTACTTCCTATTACTATCTGTTTGTTTTGTTTTGTTTTGTTTCTGGTACTGGAAATTGAGCTCATGACCTTGCGCTTGCCAGGCAGGCACTGTGCCACTGAGCTAAATCCCCAGCCCCGCTCTTACAATCTTTTATTTTGCATTCAAGGCCAGCCTGAACTACATAGCAAGACCCTGTCTCACCCCAAACTCTGCCAAAAGAAAGACACATCCATTTAACTACAAATGCCTCAGGCTTATTCTTCTTTATGGTAAAATAGTACTCCATGGTGTAGAAATATCATATTTTCTTTATTATCTGTTGATGGACATATAGGTTGTTTCCAGGATTTGGCAAATATAAATTGTACTGCTATAGTCATGAGTATGCATGTATCACTGTAATATCATGTCAGTCCTTTGGAAATGGACCCTTTTGGATAATAGGGAAATCTTTTTGTAATACATATATTTTTTAAGTTTTAAATTCACACACAATGTATATACTTTGGAGGTACATCATGTGTTTCAGTATATGTATAGAATATGCAATTTTCAAATTGGAACTTAGCATATCCATTATCTCAAACATTTACCATTTCTTTCTGTTGGACACATTTAAAATAATTTCTATGCTGGGGATTTAGCTCAGCTACAAAGCGCCTGCCTGGCAAGCGCAAGGTCGTGAGTTCAGTTCCCGGTACTGGAGAAAAACCAAAAAAATAAAATAAAATAAATAAAATAAAATAAAATGAAATAAAATAATTTCTTCTAGCTAGTATATATTTTAACTGTAGTCATCCTACTGCAATAAAGTATTGAACACTGGAAAGTTTTCCTCCCGTGTATTTTTATGCAAGCATTAACCTCTTTTTATTCTCTCCCCTTCCAAAAATTTGCTGAATCTTCAGTAACAGTGCATGAAGTATCCACCCTACACCTTACAGCAATAGTTACTTAAAATATTTTGAATACTAGTAATTGTGGTTATGGGACTTGGCTTTATCATGTGCGCATTTTCTTTTCAGGATCCCCCCATGGCTGTAACCCTTGGGCTCCGAATGGAGGAAATGATTTTTAATCTTGCTGATACACATTTGTTTTTTAATGATTTAGAGGTAAGAATTTTAAAAAGGAGGAGCAATTGTTTCCAACACTAAAACACTTGATGGTTCCATGTATCCAAATAACCTTGAAAAAACTGAAATATACAAACTGAGCTCAAGAGAAGTTATAAAGTTCTTGTGCAGAGGAAACAATTGCATCTAGTAATATAAGGAGAAGAACGGTTGTTTCCGTGAGTAATATATGAGTACAGGAAGTGATTAAGAGCAGAAACATCTTAGAATAGGAGATCGTCAGCTTTGCTGTCCAGTATGAGACAGTGGTCCTGGGCATTTCAGGGCCTCAACCCTGACCCCTTCAGCACCTTGGGAATCAGCATTTCCAGGTTTCTGGCCAGGACGCTTTCTAGGTTCCTCGCTAGATAATGTTCACAGGTACTCTTCTTGGTGGCAGTGTGGATTATGGAATTTGGAGGATAGTCAGGAACCTACCTTTGGGTCACATTACCCTTCTCACTTTCTTCCCTTCTACACAAAGCAGGGCTAGAGCTATGTATATAGCACTTCGGATGAATTTGAAAGAATTTATTTTCTGTGTTCTCAATCTTATTTCTTTGCCATTCCTTATCTTAACTGGTAATGCAAACAAGAGGAAGAGAAAATTAATACAACAAGATGAAAAGGCATAAGAAAAACTTGCCTAGAAATAGCTACCTAGGGGGGCTGGGGATTTAGCTCAGCGGCAAAGTGCCTGCCTGGCAAGCGCAAGGACGTGAGTTCGGTTCCCGGTACCAGAGAAAAACCAAAAAAAAAAAAAAAAAAAAAAAAAAGAAATAGCTACCTAGGTACCATAATAAGGAATATAATCTGTGTACTAATGACCTCACCATCCAGACAATAGAATCTAAAATAGCTAAGTAGTTTGAGGACAGGGCAGGAATATTTCTTGGGAAACTGTAGCTATAATGAAGTAGACATTTCTCTTTCTTTTTTTAATGGCATGTTTAAATTTATCTCATGATTTCCCATTGAAGTAAAAGCACATACTTATAGTCATGTTATGAATGGAGAAGACGATTGTTATTACTGATGTATAAATTGTTCCAGCTATTTTTTTCTGGACTTCCCATTAATTACTTGACAGTGTTTTGAAATCAACTTGTAGATTACATTATATTTGTGAGGCAGAAGCTGCAGGACCCACAGTGTAAAAATCATATACAGGTTATCTGCTAGCTGTGCAGTAGAACTGGGATTTTGGAGGACATTTGGCACCAGAGTTCATACTTCTGCCACTATGCTATGTTGAAATTAAGACTGAAAAAAGGTCAAGTTTCAGTGATTGGCTTAAATAAGTTTTTTAAATTAACAAGGTCTTAAATCCAGTTTTACATCTGAGACATCAGACTAAAAGTAAATGCTTCAGTGTAGCCCCTTAAGTGTATTTTCTGAAAGTCACCTGTATCATAACAGTTTGTTTTTTCTACAGTGAATCAGTACTTTTATTGGATAATAAAATGACTGTTTAAAGATGTTTTATTTATTTTCTTTAATGGAGAGTATTAAAGATCAATATTCCTAGGCATGGCTTTCAATTTTAGATAAGAAATAATAATCAACTAAAATTTGATTTTCATTAATCCTTCTAGTTATGTACAAAATGCCTTTATATACACCCGTAGATAGGAAACACATTTGAACCTTTTTGGAATTTGAATGCTTTATATACAATGCTTTATATGCATTGATAAAGTTTTAAGTTAATTTTCTGGTTATTAACGTGAATAAGTCTCAGTCTACAGAAAAGTCTAAATTCATTAGTCCTTCTAGAGCTTTAAAAGGAAATAGGAAACTTTGTATGTGGTTTTATCCAGGGTTTACAGTGTTTATCTCATTTGCTTAGTTAATTTTTACTAGAAATACGCAGAATGAATGGTTTCATTTTTTTACTGTTATAGTAGGAGACAGATGCAATAAATTTACTGCTCACCTTTTAGCATGATGTTAAAATGAGAAAGAGAAAATAGCATTTAATACAGTTATAGTACAGTGATCATCTCTGGTGTTTTAGGATTTTTTATTTTCAATTAGATAGCATTTTAAAGGTATTTTAAAATACATGGAAAGGTTTCTGTTAACTGAAAATCTATTAATATTGACTTTTCTTCACTTTTTCAATTGTGTTTTAAAAGCATGATAAAATGATGATAAATTTAAACCTTAAAGCCTAGCTGTTCAACATTTCCTGATTAATAGCATAGCTGAGTCTGCATATAGATTCCTTGAACACTCACTACTCACACCTGCACACACTTGCATATCCCAGATGAAATGCCCAAGAAAACTAAACAGTTTCTTAGTGCTAAGCTAATGAAATCTAAGTAGTAACTTGCATGATCTTTCAGTATATTTACACACATTCCCGCTGTCCGGTATCTCTGTGAAAGTAGAGTTGGAAAGTCAACTTCACTTTCACACAATGCTTTTATTATTGTTTTCAATAAAGCTCTCACAACCTGATTCCAAAGGTTCTATAACTAGAATTAAGTTATTCTGCTTCTGCTGAGGAAAGAATCCCTCAAGAGAGTACCTCCACCATTAGCTTATTGCGTTTTTATCCCCTTGTATATTTAATCACTCAGGATCTTTATTATAACCTAAAACTCTAATTTGAGACTAAATGCTGCAACATATGCAGCAGCAGCTGTTCCTCTCATAATTTCTTAAAAGACACAAATTTAAATCCTGATAGACCTTTCAGTACATCCTACCCAACTGCAGAGGAGGCAGATGCTCACTCTGCCCCCCTAAGGAGAGAGTCCTCTCTGTTTAAATGAAATGTTATTTCAGTTAGAATAACTTCCAGAAACAAAGGCACCAGGGACGTTGGGATTACAGAAGTCAGAGAAAACCTCTGTGGATCATAACTGCAAAATATCGGTGACAATTCTGTAGTCACCTTATGAGACAAAATTAAAGCATTTAAGATTAGCACCCAGAATTATTTCAGATGTTGAGGTCTTCCACTACAATTTGTTAAAACCAAAGATAATGCTTTTTAGGTGTTTCAGGATTGAGTCAAAATGATTCTAGAATAGTTCCTTAAGGTGAGGACTAATTGAAGAACAATTATTTAGCTTTTCCTAAAAAAACAAGAGTGAAATTCAGGTTTCTTTCTCTGGACTGTAATTCTTGGGCAAAGGTCCAGAGTCAACAGGCAGAGTTAACTAGGCATAAATTTAAAGAGAAGTTAGATTTGGAAAAACCTCAAACATAACTTCAAATATAGAGTGCATGGTCCAATAAGTTTGATATACTGTTGTCCTCATGAGTAAAAAAATACATTTTTGGAGAAACTATATATAAATTAATCATGAGAGTTAATACTTGAAATGTCAGAAAAATTTCTTTAAAACTCAGAATCAGAGTATTAAACATAGAATTAACTTCTGATGACCAGGGTAGTTTATAAGGCTTCTGCCCTGAGTTTTTGGTTATCACTAGTTTGGTGTAAAGAGTAATTCACAGCCTTAATATTTTTTATTTACCATGTTTTTTATTTCCATGAGGAAACATTTCAGAATTTTGATGGAGTGGGCAATAGCATTTCATACCATTTTGATAGCGATTCATCTCAATCTACATCCTCTCCATGAACATCACCATCTCTCAATAAGGAAGAATTACCATATAGATAATTGGTTTCTCTGGTTTCTCTGATAATTTCTGCTCTGTTTTCTCCATAATCTGGGAGAATTTATGCCCACTTTCATGCTGACTGGGCAAATCTCTCCACTTTGCTAAAGCCCAGTTCAACCGCTGATACCGGTGCTTGCAGTTCTTTTACCAGAGATATTTCTGGAAACATGAAATTAATTCCATTAATTCCATTAATAACAGTTTGACCTGAACTCATTTCAGTCAATGCTTGCTAAGAAAGGGAAGAATGTTTCTAAAAGCCCATCCTTCCACCACTCAGGCATCTCCAACTCTGCTCTAATACCTTTCCAGGTACTCTTGATTTAAGTATCTTCTAAAACTCTTCAACATCTAGAGTATTATTTTGTATTATAAAGTATTGTACTAGAAAATTTAAATGTCTGCAGTAATACTGTCAGGAATCATGATTCACCAGACTTCTGCCATTTGTTTAAAAAGAATTCTTCAGTGAATAGTTCTTCTCTGCCAGAGTTTTCCTCAAAAGAGGGTATATCCTGATGAATGAAATGCCGCCCCAGGGAACTTCTAGTTGGCTTACGCTTTCTGGATCCCTACTTGTGAATGTAGGTAGAGATTCATTCAAAAATCACCAAACCCATAATTTAGGTAAACCTTATGAATTCTTAAAATCAATGTACCTGGGTTCTCAGGTGACACATCAAAATGTGCCGATGAGGCTGTCTCTGACTTTTGTGTTTTAAAGACAGAATCAATGGCACCATGACTTATAGGCTGCATATAGAAAGCTGGAAAGTAGATATTAAATGTTTGGCTACTGACATTTCCAAGTCCTGTAATGAATATCAGTGACGACTGAAAAGCCTTTGTTTAGTATGGCATGCTTTCAAATTTAACAGATTTTTAAAAATTTATTGTAAATGATTAGCACTACTTATAGTCAGAGTCAATGACTATGATTTAAATAATATGAGGAAGATAAAAGAGGCCCAAAGGCTAAGCCATACCTTTGCTGAGGTTATTTGTGTCTGTATTATAAATTATAATAATTCATTACTAAACACAGAACTAGGTATTTCAAATGCCCTAGTCAAATGCCACTATCAAATCATGTAATATTTCACGGGGACTCTGTAGATAACTTGAAGGCAGAACAAGACTCTTAGAACAGCAAAGACAAATTGAATCCTTATCCAAAACTGCTCATTTGCTCTGAGCACAGTTTAACTTAAAATCTGGTCAGTCGCATGGAGGTACAAAAGTATACAAAAGACCTAAAGTTTATTTCCCTTGGAGTGTGTAGCACTTCTGAAAGGATGTATCTTCATTATTTCCCTTTTATTTCTAACTATTATTTTCATTTAAAATATTAAAAGCCTGACCAAAGGAAAATGTTAGCTTCTATGGTTAGTACCTTTTTTCTGTGTTAAATCACCAAGACATTTAAAATAATGTCCTTTGTCCTTCAAAAGAAGAAGGAAGGCAAGAAATGTCACAGAACAATGTAATCTGTGGTCAAGCCCTTCCGTTACTGGTTACAAGTAGTAAATAATAGTAACTACTTGAGGTGTTTGGACCAAACAAATTTTGTGTATCTTTAGATTGGCATCACTTAAACATGCCCAGCAGAAATGGTAAGAAGAAACCTGTATGACTGATTACAAAGATTGAAAAGAGAACTTTGTATGGTTAGAATATTTTTTACTTTGCTAAAGATTAAAGAAGTGATTTTAAAATTGCTCTACAGATACCCACAGGCCATATTTTCAGATCTCTTGGGTGTCACACTGTTGGATTTCCATGTTAGAGAGTGGCACTGGTGTCATTTCACAGCGACTCTGCAGATTATCTGAGGATGGAACAGGATTGTTAGAATAGCAAAGACAAATCAAATCCTTACGCATAATCCCAGTTGCTCTAAGCACACTCTAACTGAAAATCAGGCCCCTTGTGGATGGGTACACTGACCTCAAGTAAACACGAGGCGGTGGGATGGATGGACAAATGCTGCCATCTTCTGGCAGAAGTCTGATGTCACGGACCTGTGCAAACTTACACGGAGTTGAGCATCATTTGAAAACGAGTCACATTTCCCGTGTTTTTAACAGGAGTGCGATCAGGTGCACATAGATGACGTTTCCTCCGATGATAATGGGCAGGACTTAAGGTAAGCCATGCCTTTCAGTATGCTGTTTCCTACAGAAATTCAGCTATGGAGTTTTGCACCTGTAATTATTTCTTTTATTTCTTTTTAATGTATTTTGGGTGTTGCAGTACCTACAGTTTTGCAACTGATGGCTTCCATGCAGCTGCAACTAGTGCAAACCTTTGTTTGCCAACAGGTGTAAGAGGAGGAGTGGACTGGATGAGGAAGTTGGCTTTTCGTTACAGAAGAGTAAAAGAGTTATATAACACCTACAAGAACAATGTCGGAGGTATGTGTGGTTTGTGTCATCTAATGGCGGCATCCTGGGTATAGGTAGAATTCAAGCTGTAGTTTCATGTTAGAGATTATCCTACTGTAAAAAAGATTCAGCAAAAGCTCTCATCAAAGAACACTGGGCCAGAATTTTTAGTTTCTTAGAATTGCTGGGGAAACTTAACTGCAGAATAAAACACGCATGCCCATCACAGAACTGGACGCTGTGAGACCTAGTGCACAAGCTGTGGTTCAAGATGCACAGAAAAGAACTCAGTTAATTTTACTGACTGGTAGCTGTGATATTAGTGTGAAACTCAGAAACAAGACCTGTCGGAGGCAGTGGAAAGCAGACCTTTCTAAAGATCAAAACCCTGGCCATTGAAATAGCCAAGGGTGATCATTACCTCTCTGCAACTCTATCAGCATAAATATAGACAGTGATTTATGTCACTTCGAAGCTGGTGAATGCATCTACATTACCTTTTTTAAAAATTTGTATGCTTTCTGACTGTATATCTTTACCACATACAAATATGGCTAAGATGATCATGGCTTTTAAAAGTTCACATACTCCATAGGCATTATCTAAACCATTTAATGCCCATCCATATATATGAGAGGTCACACCAAAACCTGTGGCATGGAAACTGTGATCTGGAATGTGTTTCTAGATACAACTAACTTGAATGGTCTCTGTTATTAGGATGAATTTTAGGTCAAAATGATTCTTTATGGGGCTGGGGATTTAGGTCAGTGGCACACCACTTGCCTGGCAAGCGCAAGGTCATGAGTTCGATTCCTGGTACCGGGAAAAAAAAAATGATTCTTTACATCAGTTATTGAGTCATATAAAACTCTTCTCCCAGAATGTTTCTCTTTTCTTCAAAAATGAAAGATAATTGAAGAGCACAAACCAGATCCAATATAAAATGATGCCGCTAAATATGCGTGCACACTACACATGGGCACATTCCCATGTATGTCATAGAATACAACATAATAAATTTTGTACTATGCATCACATCCACCATATACATTCTTAGGGTGCGCTGTGTGTCAGGTCACCTTGTGTCTGCCTACTATTAAAGCACATAATGGATACTCAATAGATAATGACTATAAGGAAACAAAAAAGTTAGAACTGTGGACAGTATTAATCTTAGAACTAAAAGGGATTTGTGCCCTGTGGAAATGGCAGAGTCCTGCCTTGTCTAAGGTTCTAAAGGAACTCTTCTCTCCTGACTCACTCTAATGCTATTTCCAAGACACTCTCATGAAATCAAATGGTTAAGTGATCAAGTTAAAAATCAATTACTGATAATATGTTTAACTTTAAAATTGATACCCTTTCTAGAGACCTGAAAATATGTATCACTTGCAAATGTTATTATTTCCTTGTTGCATGGTATTATTTACATTATTTTCCATTTAACAAAGTTGCTAAGAAATAGTCTTGTATCTTTAAAAGTTTATATGACCTCAGAGGAGTTCATTTTCTCTCATACATCAGCAGCTCTATGAAATGAGGACAGATAAGACTTGATAGAAAATATAAATTTTAACTTAAAAGATCATCTACATGTGTATGTGCAACCAGTGTTTTGAAATACATTTCAAGTAAAAAACTTTCCTTTTGAATGGATTTGTGTCATCTTGTTTTACCATGACAGCAAAAGCAACATGTTTTTAAATTAAAAATTAACATCCTACTTCTCTTATCATAACATCAATTTAACTTTCCATCATTGTCTACAGCTGTCTGGGACTTGAACACTTCTTAACTTATTCTTATAAAACAATATCCCTAGAAGTACTAGTTTTAGAAGCATTCCAGTAGCTACATATGATAACGCCAACATTAACTGGTTCAAGATAGAGAGGATTGTGATTAGTAAGCGACAAAGCAATTTCAGGGAGCCACACTTGATACTTGTGTCCTTAGGCCGGTCAAGCTCCACTGCATGTCTACACCTACCACGTTGTAGCATCTTGGAGTGAGACCCAGGCTGGGAGTTGTAAATTGACTGTTGACTCCAGCAGATTCGGGGCTTTGTGACAGGATAACTGGATCGACTCTTCCATTGTTATGCTGTGGTATTCCACATGTTTAGCTCAGCGCCTGACCCTTAGAATTTGCTCAGTGAGGATCCATTGAGTGAAGGAGTGGGAACTCATTTCTGGAACTAAGGATCAATATCAATCTGTCTGCATCTGTCCACATTGCTGTCTAAATGGAAATAAAAATTGTCCATACTAGACAGAAAGAACACTGAGCTAGAACTCCCTGAGAAAATACACCATTCCTGACCTTCCTTGTGCTTCGGTTTTGCAGGACTCCTTGGCCCTGCCAAGAGGGATGCCTGGCTGCAGTTGAGGGCAGAGATCGAAGGCCTGACAGATTCCTGGCTCACAAATGCACTTAAGTCTTTATCAATTATTAGTACTAGGTAAGTGAGATCATTGCCTTCTCTACATTAAATGTATGGAAGATGTAGGTCTAATATAATATAGATAAAAATATTTTAATTCTTGGGCAATTAAGAGTTTGAAAGGACCGAGCAATTCATTGAGTTCATTAATTTTTAGCGTGTGTGTGTGTGTGTGTCTGTGTGTGTTTTGGGGATGCTGCTTCTCAGAATAATCAGGAGATTATATCTTCCTACCTATCTTTCATTTTAACTACTGATAATTCCCACGCAAAAATTACATGACTTCTAGTGAAAGAGGAAACAGCTCCCTATTGGTGGCAAAGTACAGGGGTGATAGAAAATAAAACAAGATGTTTATTTTATAAGAAGAATATTTATTTTAAGTCTTTTAGACTATAAGATAATATACAGAATTTAAGTGCACTAGAAAAGCAAGAACAAAATCTTGAAAAATTTCTAAATTTTGTGTTATTTGAACTAAACAGTGAAATACTGATTTGGTAAAATAAATAATAAAATCAAATGGATTTACAAGTTGTTAAAAAAAAAAACCCTGTCCTATAAATTCTAATTCATAAAGTAATATAAACCTGTAATATCAAAATAGTATAAAAGTGATAGCTAATGAGTGGGATTAATCTTTGTACTTTCCAATTCCATGCTTTTATTTCTGAGTTAGATGAATACATAAAGGCATACTTAGCAAGTGAATGACACAGCAATGCTGAGAAAGAGATATTATTTGCACCAATTGAGTCAAGCCACTGGAAAGCTTGGCAGAGTAAAAGGAGAATCCAGTATGGACAGCATAAAAGTAAATGTGTATGTGTCAGATCCGGCATGTGGCTTCCAACCCTGTGACAAGAACAGGGACAACGCTGATAGCAGAAAGAGCAAATGGCAGGAGAATCCGTGCGCAGCGCGCAGTGTTCAACTGGGGAAGCATGGCAGAGTGCTCCGCCCACGTTCAGTACCACATTCTCGTGGGAGCTGTGACAGAGCGTGGGAAACACGGGGATTTGGGTATAGAAACCACAGAATGGGAGCAGCTGGAGGAGCCAGAAAGTTCAGTCTGCAGAAGAATCATGTGTGAAACAAATCATTGGTTTCACCTGTTTGAGATGTTAGGCTAAAAATGAACTGTGTACATCTCTGTCCACAAAGGAGAGAATTATGATAAATGAGTAGGAAGCCTTGGAAGAGACGGTCTAAGTCCATGTAAGGAATTGCTTAACAAATAAATATGTTTGAAAATGGAACCTGCGGCCTTGTGATTTTTTCAGTAGTAATATGGAAGCCAAAAGTGTGAAAAACAGATACGTGGTTCTTGAGCCTCCAAAATTGTGTCTGACATGTAGCAGAATGTGCATTTCTCTGAGGATGAGGTCAACACCCTTTATTATTCCTATAAAGAGGTTTTGTAGTAAAACAGAAACAATGTTATTATATAAGGTAATATATTATATGACATCAATACATATTTTTATTAAATAGATGACTTCAGAGCAACTATAGGGACATGTGATTTAAAACACTAAACTCATAACAAGAAAGGAACAGTATAAAAGAAATCAGTATATATGTTGAATAGTTAAATAGTTTGGAATTTGCTAAATTATCCACATATATTATCATATTGATAGTTCTCACAAAACGAGTGGAAGGTCTAAAAGCAAACACCTTGTTGAATTATGTATCACAGGCATTAGCAAAGTTAAGTTAGCCTGTGATGTTAATTCTACCACAGCAAATTACAGGTCATAAACCAAGGTACAGAAAAAATAGAGTAGCATTATTTATAATATTGAGTCAACAAAAGACATCTAACCACCTACACTGAGCTTTAAAAATACTGTTTGTCCACCTGTGTATTTTGTGCACATTTTGCTTGAAGATAAGGAATTATAGATAATATGTAAGCTAATAGACTCATGGTACACAAAATGAAAGAAAGAGCTCAGGCAGGAAGGGAGGGAGGGATAGAAAGAGGAAAAAAAAATTCCATGTATAATATGACCTTAATGGGGCTGGGGATTTAGCTCAGTGGCACAGCGCCTGCCTGGCAAGTGCAAGGTCATGAGTTCGATTCCTGGCACCAGAAAACAAACAAAACAACAACAAAAAAAACAAATATGACCTTAATGAGGAAAAACTTAAATATGAACAGAAATACTATCAATGGACAAATTTGCAGTTATCTTTGAATATCTAATAAACTACTAATATTTTTCTTTTTTATATTTGTCTTTCTTTTACAATTTTTGTTATATACAGTGTACATAATTTTTAAAAAGAAATTATAGAACTCCAAATGTCACAATGAAATGGTCAAACTTCATTTCAAAACCATTCATTTTATTCAAGCAACTTTTCGTTCTCTAACATTTATCTACATGTGACTTTGAATACCATTGTTTTGACAAAATACTACAGCAGATTACTAAGAATAATGCACAAAGCATAATGATATTTTGACAAAATTAAATTAAATTACATACTCTTTTGGCATTATCTCTGGGGTCTCAGGTAGATTCAAATAGCATGCATAACTTTGTCACAATATCATCATGGCTTGTACATCCTTCTTAATAATCTGCCAATATTTGACAAATGTCTGTTGATGCAGGGACTTCTGAACACTGAGTAGTACCATTTATTATGGAATTTTAAGACAACAATTTTGAGGTTGTGCTATTCAAAGTTGTTTGTTGGAAAACATTCTTACATTTTATGCTGTTGAAAGTTATTTCGTGTTAGAAAACACACACATTTATATGTTTCCTCTCTATTTCAGGAGTAACTGTGTAAATGTCTTAGTAACAACAACCCAACTGATCCCAGCACTTGCAAAAGTTCTACTCTATAGCTTAGGAGGTGCTTTCCCCATTGAAAATATTTACAGTGCAACTAAAATAGGTAAGGAAACTATACCGTTGAACAGAATGTACTCACGTCTGTGTTCAGAGAATTTTCTTAATGTATGTCTCTGCGTAGTTCCCTTTCCATGGAGATTTTGGTATTAGAACAAGTAAAATTGGGCAAAGTTCAACTCACAGAATCTTCTGTAACTCATTGTGCATGGGCGAAATATTTGAGAACTGGTGCCAATGAAATTCTGAACTCAGCATCTGGGCAGTCTTTATCCATGCTCATAACACATGTTATGTAACTAATATTCAGTCTCGCTAGCCGTGATATTTAATAGTCTAATTAGTATAGTAGTGCGTCCTTCATATGAATTAATCTTTAGGATAAAAAGACAATTTTGGCCTTACCAGGGAGTCACAAATAGATTCAAATAGCATCCAGGAAAGCATAAAAACTGTTTTGAGTCAGAAAACATAATTGAGCTCTGCACAGTAGCAGTATCATAGACAATGAGGTTTATCAGAGGTACAATTGTTGCTAATTGAGAAATCATAATCAAAATATTCATAAGAGATAAGTGGCTGGAATCTGCATTTCCAAAACATATTCAGTAACAAGCAAAGAGCTACAACCTTACTTATTTACTTAGATAATTATCTTTGATTTAAAATGGATTTTTCATGCTCGGACTTCTAATAAACACTCAAAAACCAAACTCCGTCAAGCTCTGCCATCTTGAAAGAGTTAAAGAAAACAGCACATGTATTCCACTGTCTGTCAAGGAAATGCCTGGGAAAATTAATGGGTTGTGTAATGTGCCCTGAAGGTCAACAAACTTAGGCTTTGGCACCTTGACAAGACAAGTTCAAAATCCTAAAATCTCCCACCAAAAATAGCCTGCCCTGGCACTGACAAAAGGAGCCCCCGCTTGCAGCTGTTTCCGGAGGACAGTTAAAGACAGCCAAACTTTTATACAATAAATGCCACATTGTTCTGTGCACTACAGCTCAGAACCCAAATCCCAATGTCATACATTTTTTTGTATAAATGTTTACAACTGGGCTAGCAGAATTCATATTTATAATGTGATTCTGCTTTTTGATAATTCAAGTAATTACATAACAGAATACATATTTCTTTTATTTGCAGACAATATTATTTTTATATTGGTCAAATAGTTTTTTATATCTCATCAAAAAATCATTTTTCCTTTTAATATTATTTTTTTGGAGATATGAACACAAAAGTAATCACGGTACATAGACATTCCAGGAATGAAGTTCAAATAATGCTTTTATTTTAAGAAAAAGGCCATGTAGGATCTCTAGCATGGTATTCTCTTGTACAATCAGAACACGCTAGTGTTTTCTATGCTGTGGCCCAATTGGAAAGTACCCTTGGTGTAATTAATCTGAAAATACTAATCCCACCCACCTGAAGAAAGGAATTGTTTATCCAAGTGAAAGCACATCTCAGTATGTATTTCCTTAGAGACAAAACTTCAGTTTTCCATGATAATATATTCAGCCGACTTTGTCTATGCTATTTAAGATAAATTAAACACAACTGATTTATAGAATTAAACAAACGTGTTGTTAAGACATGATTGCATATATTTCTCCAATATTTTTGCTTGACAAATGATTAAAATTTATGCTTGCAGAAACATACTAACAATTTCTGCAAGTCAGAGTGTAACCTCATTGATGTTATTGAAGCGTGAAACATACTTGTTTCATATCTGCCCTTAGAAAAAAACCTATGTTATTCAAAAGTGTGTGTTGAGTTCATAAACTCAGAGGTCGAAAGCTAGCTCGAGATACTCAAGAGACATGAACGTAACACTTTATGAATCTCTAGGTTCATGAAAGCAATGGCTGGAAGAATAAGCAGTGCATTGTTTTTCAGGCAAGGAAAGCTGTTTTGAGCGTATAGTATCCAGATTTGGCACTAACATAACTTATGTTGTGGTTGGAGATGGCCGAGATGAGGAGCATGCCGCTAACCAGGTAACTTCGCTCTGAACTTTATCTCATTTATCTTCCAGGAAAAGAAAGTTGCTTTGAACGAATAATGCAAAGGTTTGGCAGAAAAGTAGTATATGTTGTAATTGGGGATGGTGTAGAAGAAGAACAGGCAGCAAAAAAGGTAACCTGTCTCAAAACAATGTTGGTGTGATACTCCTAATGCAAGCCTTTTTGTTTGCATTCCTGTAGTTTGGTCCAATGGCAGCTTGACAAATGACTTAAATGTATGGTTGCAAAGCAGTAAAAGCATGAGAAGGTCGACGCGTACATTGAAATAAACCATTTGGAGTCTAACCTTTTTTGCCTGAAATTTGATAGAAAATGCAGGAAAAGTTGTTATATTTACTTGTGTGGATGCAGTAAATATATAATCAATACATATTTTATACATATATACAGAGTATATGAAAATGCATGAAATGCATATATATATATGTACACAGGCAGTGAATGTAGATATAGGCAACTCAGCGGTCTGTAAGAAAAGTGGAGGAAAAACTACTGTTAAGCCCATGAAATTTAACAAGATAAAGACATTTCATGAGCTCGTAGAAAAACCATGTGAGTGGCTGTGAGTCGCACCGGCTGTGTGGTCCTTGTGATCACCTAGAAGTAGGTCCACGATGAGGAATGCTGTTGGTACATTTACTAGCTGAAGCAAAAACTGTTGAGAGAGATTTTAACCAGCACGATTGGAACTGGATGTATTGTTCTGATCTTCTTGTGCCAGTGTGTCTTGGATCTTCCATAAGAGTCTCCTGTGTTTTGATGAGCCATTGGTACTTGACTAAAGCCAAGCAGCTGGCCCTGAAGATATTCAGGTGATCTCAAAGACCCTACATATTCATATAGATTTTTTTTATCTGGCACTTGTTTCTGAAGAAAGAACCAAGACAGTTAAAAACCATTAAGTGGTTGGTTCAACATTAGTAGAAGAATGATAACAGGATTGGGCTCCCACACTGCAAGACCATCCAACAACACAGCTGAGCTTTACTGATTCCTTTGGTGAGTGATGATAGAGTACCATCTCATGTAGCCAAGATAAACGATGGAATTTATAAAGCAAAGCAAAAGGATGACTTAGTATTTTCAAACAATGACACAGCACCTTACATTGTTTCTAATAGAAAGAATGTTATCCTTACTATATTGAAGCAATTTAAATCATCATCTAATAAAAACATCACCAAACATGCACATGTACTGACATTTTAGCTAAGTTCTCTTCTATAAAAATATCAGCGCAGTTGCACAGAACAGTTTACAGTTATGATACAAAGGGAAAGGAAATGATTTATGTTTCTGATAAATTCAGAACAAACAAAATGGAGGAAGAGAAAGCAATTCCACTTTAGAAAGTTTGGGGGCATTGCTGACAGTCACACTTGAGACTCCCCAAGTTTTCCCATGCCATGAAGAGAGCTGGTAGCACAGAAAACCCTTGGTGTTAATTATCAGGGTCAGTGACTCAAAACGGCACGCTGGCCCCAACGACGTTCTGAATGAGGTCAGGGCTGCCACTGCAGGACAACCAACCTGCATTCCTGACCCCCAGCTGGAAGTGCTCACAAGCACGCTCTGTGGAAATGCCCTCTACGGTTCATCAGTACCGAGTCCATGAGGTCTTGATTTTTCATATCACCACCATAATTACACACAGCAAGTAGCGAGTTTTCTGTGCAACCACTCCTACAAACGCTTACACAGCGTTTAGCCTATGGAAAATTCATATCTGTCTAGTTCAGGACAACTAAAATTTACTTCTCCAACAACAGTATGTGCCTCTGAAAATGAAAACTGATCAAGTCTACTGCAGTCATCCATAGTGGGAAAGCTAAACTATTGGCATACCTTCTGCTTTACACCTAACACTTCAGGAGAAAAAGGCTGACTCCAAATGGATAAAAGTCTTGGCTAGAATGCCATTTTGAAATGGTCATTTATGTAGGTGTGGTTCTGGTGATGGTGAAGGCTTATAATTCTATTTGGAAATACAGGTGGCTGGTTTCCCTATTGCCTAGAATGCATGCTTTTCTTGGGATGCAGCAGTAATCGCATGTGGAGAAATACTGAATTCTGTTTCATTATCACAAATAGATCTGAGCTGAATAAAAATAGCGGGGCTTCAATGTAAATTTCCAGGCTGTGCTTTAATTTGACCTAAATTTTTTAAAAAAATCAAAGTTTAGGAATTTCTCTTACAGAAATATGTATTGTGGGGGCTGGAGATTTAGCTCAGTGGCAAAGCGCCTGCCTGGCAAGCGCAAGGTCGTGAGTTCAGTTCCCAGTACCAGAAAGAAAACAAAAACAAAAACAAAACAAAAAAAAAAGAAATATGTATTGTGAGATGTGTATGTAATTTTTTACATTTTCTAGGAGTGATGTTAAGTAAAAGTAATGAAAGATAGATAGGAATGATTTTAATGTATTTTAATTGGCCCATTAATACTACATTAATATTTTTATTGGCCAAAATATTACATCTCAACACCTAATTAATATAAATTTATTGTTGTGTTAGCCATATTCTTTTGATGCTACTGTTTTAAGTTTTTTGAAATTCAGGCTGTATTATAAATTGGATTAGGTATATTTCAAGTGTTCATTAGCCGCATGTAACTAGTGGCTATCATACAGCAATAGCAATCATAAGTATGCTTAATTTTTAAATAAAAAGTCTGTTTGTAATATGTATTTCCATTATATATGAAAATATTCCATATGTATATATTCTAGAAGATTTTGTGTCAGCTTAAATTTACAGATAGCACGTTTGTTTTGTCAGTTGCTATAGTGAAGGTTTTTCTTTTTTATTATCATTCCCAATAGGATCTTTTTAGACAGATTTTCTCATCACCCCTTCTATGAAATTTTAATGCCATAAAAATATACTGGATACCGGTCTATCTCGGGAGGGCTACAAACCATTGCAATGTCTAAGGTTTTTAGTTTTTACCGCCCAAGAAGCCAATTTTATCCCCTTGGGAACGATATCTCTCCCATTGAAAATCCATGCCAGAGTACTGTCTCTAAATCCCATGCCAGTGAAATAAATCAGATCAGCTCTACTGGCTTAAGTTATTGGTTATTGCAGGCAATTAGGAAAGTTATCATTCCCGCAATTTTTTCCTGTTTGAGATAGTACAGCTTTGCGTTATTTTTTTTTTATGTAGGAGAGCAGTCACTCTTTCTTCCTCTCACATAGACAAAATATTCTGTGCTCAGGACGTTTACGGTTTTGTCACTGAAAGACGGAGAGATGTGCTGATGAAAACTTGCTGCCAGCCGGGCAGGGTCTTCTTCCCCGCAGGCTTTCCCAGATGCTGATGTTAGTAGTGAGATTCGTGTGGAGTAAAGGTTAAACTGCCCACGAAATCTCAGTATTTGCTTTCATATCATTCAAATCCAGTTCAGATCTATTTCTCTGTGATTGTGACCGTGCCACCCTGGTGCTGCAAAACCTTCAGATATGACCATCCCTCCATTAAACTCCCTCCCTTGAACCTGGGTGGACAGAGCATCCTTGTGTGCGCTGGTGCTTCGTTGAGATGATAGCTATGATCTCCGTTCTTCATTCCTGCCCCTTCTCTCTCCCAACCCTCCTTCTCTATTACTCACGCAGCACAACATGCCCTTTTGGAGGATATCAAGTCACTCGGACCTCTTGGCTCTCCATCAGGCACTGGAATTAGAGTATTTGTAACTGTATTCTCTAGCTGGAGATCCATTTTTTTTTTTTTTTTTTTTTTTTTGTATTTCAAGTACACTGAATTTTTATGTGTGATTCAGTGCCTCTGGCTCTACACATATAAATTGTCTTAAAGGATGAAATCATATTTGGAATGAGAATTCCAGAATGAAGAATTCAGATTGCTGAATGGAATGAAACTTTAGTGCTACAGAAAGGAAACTCTATGGTCTTATATTTACAACACGGTAATGGTTTTTAAAAAAAAAATTTGCGGAGGTTGCTGGTGCACATGGAATGAGACGTAACTGGAATTAACAGCTTTAGCAAAGAACTCTTAATTCTCCCAAGCAGCAACACTTGAGCTCCGTGTGACAAGGTGATCAACAACATTCCTCAAAATGGGAGACCCTCTCAGCCCTGAGGTTTGGATATGACTTTAGTCTACCTAGCCCAGAAAATCTGAATTGGAATGCACTCAGACTGTATAAGGACAGTCCTCTCTAAACCTGTAATTTGTGTAAATTATTGATGAAAATAATTTACTGTGACTTTACTAGCAGCTGACTTTGAAAGTGGATGCAATTTTTTCTTTCATTTGTTGGGGAGGGGAAAGGGAGGGAAGACGGGAATATAATATTGTCTCTTTTCTAAGTTTGGCAAACAGAATGTTCATACTGATGTGTTGTGCCTTAAAGACAAGACAGCATTCGTGTGTTACAATGTAACTTTGGTTTAAAAAAAAAATCTCTGTAGATAATGAAAAGCAAAAAAAGTTTGTACTAGTTCTTAACATGACCAAATTTAAAATTCAAGCTCTCAAAGTTTAATACTATATCAAAAAGAAACCAAGTATTTGTTGCAAAAAAAAGAAACCATTAGTAGCAATAAAGGCTTGTATTTTATTTGGATTCTTAATAATTCCAATAATTGTATTAGGCAACTATCTGTGCATCCAATCATATGGAGAAAGTTTGGGAGAAACGGTGGGACCTTTATTTAGAAAGTAAAATATATGCTGAAGTCTCAAGTACTCTTTCTACAGTTTTACTAAAGAAAACTAAGAGCCATATTCATGACAACTTGCACAGTTCTGAGTTTGAGACTTTTGATCCATAGAAATTGGGTAGAGAAGAATCTTAAATGAAAATTATTGCCAGTTACCAACCAAATCAATCAAGCTATCTTTAGACTATGCTGTGGGCATAGATGAAAATTTACACTGAGTGAAGATGCCTTAAAATACAAGTAAGTACGTGTATTCCCAATGCCACTTGGGAAAATGAAGTGTCATCAGCCATGAAAGGCGGATGCATCAGATGGCTTCCAAGGAATGAAGTGAGTCTATGACAGTTTCACCCAGAACATCATCATAAAACTGAATTAGCAAGTGAGCCAGAGTCTGGCAGCTTTACCAAATGACAGCAGTGAAATAGCACTGGTTCCGTCTTAACACATCAATCCAAGGTCTCCACATTACAGACCTGGGTGTGTTGGTTTTTGCCTGTACTTTTACTGAGTAATGGACTACATTCATTGCAGGGAGGGCCTGTCATAGTTGTGTTTGCATGTTGTTTTTTTTTTTTTTTGGTGTGTAGCCCATGTTGGGAACATGACACAGGTTCTCCTACCATTTTCTATGACATGATTTCCCTTGTAGAAATTTAAGCCTTTGAGATCTAAAGTATTCTAATGGAATCTGCGCCTGCAGCTGTGTATTTAAAATGGCATGATGTGGATATTGGAGTCCAGATATGATTCAGTGTCTAGGTTCACAATAGGCCATCAGCTGAGGCTTCTGAGGTTCAAAAGAGGTCAGTGTGTGTCTCACAGATCACCGCATGCAGTATGGAAATTTAATTTAATTTTGTCAGACTCTCAACCTGCATTTCTTCAGTGACTTCTGAGGCCATGTTTACGATGGGCAGAAAGATAATGAGATCCCAGTTGCATATATTTATGAGATAAACCTTATTCTTTAAATGCTGCTGCCTCTGCCCCAAGTAATACAGCAAGCAAATTATGGTTGAACTCTTTCTATAATATTACTACTAAATCAGTAATACATTTTATACTTCTGTTGATCTCTAGTTTGTAAATAGGTTTAAAAAATTAAAGAGTTGCAACTTATTCTCAGTACTTTTGCACACTGAAATCTGTAATATTTATTGCTGTGAATTAAAAAATGATTGTTGCTGAATAGCCAGTTTCTTTAAAAGGCAGAATTGTGGCACTACATCTAAATTTTTGATTCTGTTTTTATATCAAGTAAGCAAGTCCTCTTTACGTTGCTAAAGGTGCAGGTGCACAAAGAAATACCAAGAAGCTGCCTGATAGCCTCTCCCAGTGCTGCTTTACACACACACACACACACACCTTTATTTCTGGTTATATGTTTAAAAAACTTGAATGTGACATTGGCACAAAACAGCTTGGCAGATGCCGATCAGCCATGGGCACCGCTTGGCCATGTGACTTGAAGCATGTTGAAAGTAGAACTCTTCGCTTCCCGACTTAGGAGCAGAAAGTCCTCTTCCTTTCTGGTGAGAAAAACAAAACAAACCGACAAATAAAAACTAGCTCTTTGCCAGTTCTATTTTCATGTGGAATATTGTGCCTTATTGTAAACTAGTTTGAAAAATCCTCTATAACTAAAATGGATTTTTGACTATTAAATACACAAAGTTGGTCTATTACTCAGAAAGATAACCACCTTGTGTTGCACCTTAAAAAATACCAAGGCCATGTAATTTTAGTAACAAGATAGGTGGCCCGTCTATGACGTTATAGCATAGGACAAAGACACTCTATCCCTGAATAATGTATAAATCAGATTCAGAGGCAAAAATATTGTAGAATCATATAGTTTATTCACAAAGAAATAATAATAACTGTCTCTAAACATGTTTTTTTCTTCAGTCTCCAATCAGCTGAGATTCAAAATAATGTCAACAGCATGCTCCACTATGAAGTCATTCTTATAAAGCACATTTGATGGTGACACGCCTACATTCTCAGTGAATATGGCATTTAGTATTTCTTTTGAAACAAACGTAAGCATCATGAGCCAAAGTTGCATTTTGACTCCCAACTATGGTAGCATTATGGAAATCTCACAGTCAAAGTCAAGGGGTTCTGTTATGTATTAGTAAAGTATAGATTATTGGGGCCTACATAATTTAAAGAAATGTAAATTAATATTAAAAGCCTGTAAAAATATGTACATCTTTACTATTTCTCAATAAATATCTTTGCAAATGTTTTCATTTTCTTCACCCTTCCATTTGGTAGAGTCTTTATGTGTATATTTAGTATGATTCTGAATCATGTACATTTTTTATTTAGGTCTGTTGATGTATGTAGTTGTTTCTGCTTTGCCTACATTGCACAATTTGTGATTAAGGCAACTTGGATGTGACACGGTGAAATGTTTCTAACTCTTTAAAGTGGCTGGTTTACTAAGAAGATATGAGTTGTATAGATTTTTACATATAGCTGGTTTTATTCAAGTAGAAAGCAGATTGTAGCCACAATTCATTAAAGTGTTCCCTGTAGGTGAACGGACTGTTATAAGCTATGGATTATAGTTTACAAGAACCTTTCAAGAGAATAAAGGAGTATTTTTCTGAAATGGACTTAGCAGCTCCTTTATTATCTTGTGTATAGTACTGATTTTCTTTGTAAATCTGTCATTCACATGCAAATCAGAGGCAAATGTCAGAGCAGCTTCTGCTCTTTTGCAATGTTTTTAAAATTTACCCTCCACATAAGCAAAATGTGAGCAGAAGTATGGGACAACATTCTGATGCACAGCGAGCCTTATGCCCTACCAAAATTAACTAGGGTTGACAGGAATACAAGGAATACACTTAAAATAAATTGACTATGTAGACTTTATACCCTCTTACACCTGTTTACTTTTGAAAGTTGAGTTTGTGAAGAACATTAACTTCTATGTATCACGTTCCTGTTCTCCCCTGGACTCCGAGCAAGTGTATCTCCAGCGCCTGTTTAGTTCAACTGCTTAGAAGAAAGGTCCTCTCCAAGCACCATGTCCAACCAGGGCTTGTGCTTCTGTCCAGTTATACTTCACTTCTCCCAGGCCATCACTGTCATCATTTCCCTCCTAGGTCACTACACAAGCCTCTCCCTGGATGTCCTGCTGTGGCCCTTACACCCTATCAGTCAGTGTATCTCATCACGTTAGCCAGGGTGGTCCTGAGATCTTGTCCCTCCTCGTCCCAGAAGTCTCTAGCAGCTGGCCTCCCACTCACCCAGTACAAACAACACTGTGGAATGCTGTGTAAGCAGTGAGTGTAAGGCCTTCAAGAATGGCGTAGGGCTCAGATGCTGCACATCTTCATGTTCTTCTGTTTCACTCCGGTCGATTCCCTGCTACCAAACAGGGACCTTTGTATCCGTGGCAGCCACCTGCACCCACCTGCTGCAGGACATCTGCACTTGCCTTTCTTCCTGCATGAGAAGGGTTCCATTCAGGCATCTGCAGCACTTGTGTTCTGAGCTTCTGCCAGGTCTTTCCTCAAAGGCCTCCTCTGGGCTGAGTAGGTCTCTCTCTATAAAATTACACGTGCTTTCCTGGCACTTTTCATGACTCCACTTTACCATAAAACTGTGCTTAATCCTCAGATTTATCTAACGTATTGCGTATCTCCTTGCTTATCTTATATGACACTCCTATGACAATATATGCTCTGAAGACACAGGCTTGTTTTGTTTTATTCATTTCTATATAACCGCTGTTTACAGAAGTGTCTCCCATAGACTAGGTATGCAGAGTATTTGTTAAATGAATGCTTAAGCCAGGAAAACATTTATATGACCATGATCAGAAGCTAAAGAGACTTACACTGATAGAGTTACACTGCTGGCGAAAAAAAGAAAACATACAGGTAAGTTTGGATGAAAATAATGTGAGTTATTACAACTTACTAGAGTGTTCGATGACCTGCTAATTTATGAAAAAAAAGAAGCAAGGATGGACATAAGCAAAGATGTGTTTGCGAAGAGGTTATTCATCACCTGAGAATGTGCTGCTGGATAAAAGCAAACATAATGATGGAGCGGTTGCATCCTTATCTTTTTTATTTTAAAAAATATGTGACATCAGTAGATTTAGTGACTTTATTTAGAGCCACAAAAATATCTTATAAAAAGCAGATCTCTCTGCAAGCTCTAGAACTCATGATTCCAAGTCCCTGAAATTAAAAAAGTGAATTATTCCTCTTCATTAAGAAGAGCTAACTATTATTTAATATCCATGCATGTTTTTATATTTAAGAAAACAATTAGCAGATGCCCTCCTATAACTGTTCTTATACACAAGCTACTACCTGGTCAGTCTTAACTGGATCAGAGTTAATCCTTGGAATGCACTGTGGCCGGCAAGGATGCTGCCTCAGAACAGCAAGGGGAGCATGTTCACTGTGCCCAAGTCCTAACTTTAAATGAGCATAGTAGTCCTGACTAGTCTGAGTTTGTCCAGAGCTCTCCAGGGACTACATGAGCACACATGTGGAATAAATGATCAAGTATAATACGCTAAAGAATCGCTGACACTCTGATTACTCATACAAGCCAGATAGTTTCCCTTCTAACAAATATTTTTGATTGGTCTTCCCAACACTGTCTCTGAGGCTACATTGTCTTATGCTAGCATGGTATTATCTTTTGTGTATGGCAGCTGCTATTAAGAAATCATATGAATTCTCAGCCAAGTCTTCAGTGAAAAAGACTAGTTATGGATCAAGAGGAAGCACCTAGTAAATCTCTACAGCAGCACCACAGAGAGGGCGGGAGCCCAGTGGAAGCATGGTTGCATGGTGAACTGCTTGTGGAGGCCCTGAACCAGAGGAAGAGGAAGAGTCCTTGAGATGAAGATTCCCACACTGCACCTTGAAGGACAAAAGGAAGAAAGTCACGGGAAGGGGACAGGACTGGTAGCATCTGTACAAAGTAGAAGTAGAAGGAAGGGTTGGTATAGTTTAGGAATTGCAAATAATCCTGGTTTCAGTGAGCAGTGACTAGTAAGAAATGAGTCCAAAAACTAAACAAGGCCAGATCATGAATGTTTTTAATACTATGTTGAGATTTTATTATATTCTGTGATCAGTAGGTGTCAAGTGAGAGGATCAGAAAAGAGAGGATTCATGCATCTAGCTTTCTGCTTTGTAATAGTTCCCCTGGCCACACTGTGAAGGACCTAAGAGCCTGGCACAGGCTGGCAAAGAGTCATAGAGGGATTCCTGGAAGAGGCGATGTTCACAAACGTGGAAAGAAGCACACAGATTTAAAGAAACTAATGTGTCCACAATAATTATAAATCAGCAGCTGTTGCTGCTCCTGCTCATGTTGTCCGGCACACCCAGCCTGACCTCCAGGTGTCTGGCTTGGGCAGTCTGCACAGGAGTGCAGTTCTCAGGAGACCAAAAACGCAAAGAAGAAAAAGATTCTGATTGCTGTTTTAGTGTGCTTGCTAACCTTGCTTTTAAAAAGAGATATTGAGTCCAGTATTTTAAAATGTTAATTTGATTTAGTACCATTGTCTTATATGTTTTATATGTTCCTTGGCTCATTCATCTGGTTTTCAATCTGTAGATACGACAAGTAACTTTATAAGGTATTAGAAGATAAATAAATCAATCTGATGCTGGAGAAATAAAAGGGGTGTGGAGGGAAAGGGGGACAAAGAAGAGAACCGAAATGCATTATATACATGTATTAATCCCCTACAGTGAGCATACTCACTATGTTCTGTGAACATATAGTAATAAAAGTTTAAAAAAGTAAAAATATAGAAATAAAAATGTCATTTTGGAATTAATTGGGCCAAAAAGTAGAGTTGTCCACTACGCAGCTGGATTTGTGGCAGCTTGTAAGGTTTTTTGCTAAAATACCAGACCACAACTGAGTTACTCTGAGAGCACTACACGAAATCCAAAGTAATTAAATCAAATCATATTCCTTAGTCATTCAGAAAGCATTTACCATCTATGCAAACTTAAATGGCACCAGTGACATACAAGTTCTGATTCAAACATATGGTGTTTAAATTTTTAACACTTCAGTAAAAGACACACAGCCGTTAATTCCCCTCAGAATATTACCCCATTTGGGAACACACTTCTCCTGTTGTTCTTGCTGGTTTCTGAAGCAGTTCTGGGAGTCCTCTTTCCTGAATATCTTCAGTTACTACTGTGACTGCCTAGAAGTTCTGAGTCAGTTCAAAACTTTTACTTTGTGTGGTCATTTTGACTTTGGGAAAAGCCAGAAGTGCCTAATTCAGTAGAGAATGTGGATGAAAACACACTGTAATGTTGTTATTTGACAGAAATTGTAAATGTTTAATCAGTAAGAGGATCAACAGTACAACAAATGACTATATTTTAAAAAGCTTTAAGTAAAAGATACTGGGACGTTAATCTCCCTGAAAATATTCAAAATGTTCTCTCTCATTTTGAACAATTATCCTATAGTTCTTGGCATTGTGTTTTTAACTATAATCAGTGTTTTTATTAATCAAAATTTTAACCATAATTTTTGATAACCCCTCTTAGAATGTACACATAAGAGACCCATGGAAAATTATCTGAGGTTGCCGGTTGACTTAGCATCAGGTTTTTTCTCATCCTCTGCCTTATTCCAATTTATAGTAAAGATAAACTAGCAATGCATGTAGATTTACAAACCTGAAGAAATTTGAACGCCTCTATGAAGTAAGCCATTGCTGGCTTACATCAGCTAGGAAACAAATAGAACACTCTTAATTGAATTGGCCAAGAAAGCAGACCTGTTAAAGAAGGAGCTCCAAAACAGAATGACGACTGATTTAGTCACTTACTCTTAGACAGATTAATGCATTCAAAAACATAGTGATCATTAAAAAATAAGTTATGATGGAATAAATTATTCTATGAGAGTGGGCAGCAAGCTCTAGCTTGAGAATAAAAAGTAAAATGAATGCCAGACACGCACCTGTAAAAGCATTCTATTCCGTTCATGAAATTACTTCCACATCAGTTATGGGAGCAGCAGGAGTGAATCAGAGAGACACTGAAGAGAAGTCTAAGAAAAACTGGTATAATTTCATTTCTAAACTTCAAAGATTTACAAGTGAGAAGGATAGTTTCCAAATTTCAAGTATGCACTGGTTTCCAAAGTAAAATCTACTACAACAAACTTTGGGCAATATAGCTAAGCTTGACTGAAGAACTGGTTTTAAAGAGTCAAAAAGGGGCTGAGGCAGGAATGTCATAAATTTGAGCCTCACCTGGTCAACGTAGTGACTTAGTAAAACCATGTCTCAAAATGAAAAAAACAGCCTAAAGATGTAGCTCATTTGGAAGGTCTTGGGTTTCATCCCCAGTACAAAATGGTGGGGGTGGGGAGAATTTCCTTGCTTCTGTCTAGGCAGAGCAAACATGTTTCTCTCTGCATCTTCTTTTATATATCTGAAGCCTTTGCTATTGTTTTACTCATCCACTCGGGGTCCACAGGACAGAGAGAAACGGTACCTCTGCGACCAAGGGAGCATGTGCAGTGTGGTAAGGCCTTGATCGTAGCTTTCATCACAGCTTTGGAACTGGCTCCAGAGAAAACAGGCTGATAGAAGGAAGAG